CAAGCATATACCACAATGGGGTTTTGTACATTTATGAAAACTGTTGAGGTCACTCGACACAAAGCACCTGCTGATCAACCAGTCTCTACATTAAAAGTCGCATCTGATATTTGGAAAAAGGAGGGAATTCGTGGTATAAATAAAGGTGTTAATGCTGTAGCTCTAAGACAATGCACAAATTGGGCTAGTAGATTTGGATTAACAAGATTAAGTGAAACTGCCATTAGGAAATTACGAGATGGTGAGGTTGTTGATTATTCTAAACCATTGTCACCCATTCAAAAAATTTTAGCAAGTGCCCTTGGTGGTGGTTTGTCCTGTTGGAATCAAGTAATTATATATTATTTTAAAAAATCTCAAACTTTAAAAAAAACAAATTTTTCTTTCTCACATTTCCTCCTCTCTTCTTCTTATCAAAGCCAATTGAAGTTATTCGTGTGGAAATGCAATCTCAAGTACAAACACCAGGACGTCCCAAAAATATGACAATTGTAACATGTGCTAAATACATTTATCAAAATAATGGATTGAAAGGGTTTTATCGTGGTGTAACTCCTAGAATTGGACTTGGAATTTGGCAAACAATCTGTATGGTATTTGGTGGTGATTATGTCAAGGTAATTTTTAAAATACTTTATCACCATTATCACCATTATCATCATAATTGATAATAATTTTTTCTTTTTATTCATTTATTATTTAGGCTATGATTGCCAATAGACAATTAACTCAAAAACTTTAGAATATAATTTATATATATATATTTTTTCTTGCTAATTAATTTGAATAAAATTGTTTTATTAATAATTTATTTGTTTTGCTAATTGAAATCTGTAATAAAATAAAATTCGAGTATAACATTGATGATGAATGACGTTGAACAGCAAGCATACAAATCCAGGATGCGTTAGTTTAGGATGTGTTAAAATTGTTATTTTCATTTTTAACTGGCTATTAAACAATTTCTTTCCCTTCCCTTTAATGATATTAATCATAATAAACAATAAATAATATTTAATATTTAATAATGTCTAATAATAAAGAGCAAGAAATTCAAGAAAAGTTTGTTGAAGAATATAATTGCGGCTATACAGCCATTGAAAAATTAGAGGTAAAAAAAAAAAACTAATTAAGAATAAATATTACTGATATCAAAAAACTCAAGGATCGTGGTTTCCACACGCTTGAGTCAGTTGCATACACACCTAGAAAAGCATTAAAGGAATTTCTGAAGCAAAAGTTGAAAAAATACTGAGGGTATTATTATTATATTTATAATTCAAAATTTCATGTAATTCATACAGTATATGCATTTTTATATTTATAAAATACGACTGGATGGATAGTTGGTAAAATAATAATTTAGGATCTCAATCAGCAACAGAAATCCAAAAAAAAAAGACACAAACTTGTTTATATCACAACAGGATCTGGTCAACTTAATAATATTTTAGGAAGTAATGAAAGAAAAGCATTAAAGGAATTTCTGAAGCAAAAGTTGAAAAAATACTGAGGGTATTATTATTATATTTATAATTCAAAATTTCATGTAATTCATACAGTATATGCATTTTTATATTTATAAAATACGACTGGATGGATAGTTGGTAAAATAATAATTTAGGATCTCAATCAGCAACAGAAATCCAAAAAAAAAAGACACAAACTTGTTTATATCACAACAGGATCTGGTCAACTTAATAATATTTTAGGAAGTAATGAAAGATTTCTAATGGTCTATAATCACCGAATTCAAAATATATACAATTAAAATTGTAATTCGTAATTCTTTGATTTTAAACTAGGTGGAATTGAAACAGGCTCAACAACTAAAATTATTTGGTGAATTTCGTACCAGAAAAAGTCAATTATGCCACACGCTTGTTATGTTGGTAAATGATTTATCTAATTGATATTTAATTGATGTTATGTGGTATTTTTAACTTTCTGCAAGTATGGGTGTGCTGAAGGAAAATTAGACAATGCGGCAATAGCAAGAGCTTATAGCATCGATAACATCAATTCTTAATAAATGATTGATTGATTGATTTTTCCTGACAATAGATTTGCTGTACTAATTGTTGATAGTGTAACAGCATTGTATAGAACTGATTATGCTGGAAGAGGTGAATTGGCTGCATGTCAAATGCATTTAGCAAAATTCTTACTATCTCTTCAATGTTTGGCTGATGAAGTGTATATGTGTGTGCTTTGTGATTATTATATAATTAACTAGTTAGTTAATTAATTATCCATTATTTATATAGTTATTGTTGTGACAAATCAAGTTGTTGCTACTGTTGATGGTAATATGACTATGTTTGATGGCCAGCTGTATTTCGTGTTTCGTTGCAACTACAGTCAGGGATATTTCCATAGATGGAAATACTAAATACCGTAATGATCGATTGTATGAAAAATTCTAGAAGAAATTCTGATTGGTTAAATTCAACCAGGGATAATACCCTGTAATGATCGACGTTATGAAAAGAAATTTTGATTGGCTAAATTCCGTGCAGATCTTTTCGTTAAATAATCTTTAATGAAAAAGAAAACAAGAAAAACATGGCGAAAGCTTTATTGATTGGTCATATAATTTCCATAAAATAATTAACTTGCAGAAATTACCAAGAAATATTATTCCTAACATTTTAAATTGTAATATTTCTTTAATTCTGAATTCAAATCATTCATTAATTATTCTCAAAAGAAAGGTTGTTTATCTTTAATTTACATTTAAGAAATTGGAGAGCTAGATAATTGAATCTTTAACATGTATAATAACATTATAATTTCCTTAACTTAAAAAAGTAGTTGGAAAAACTCATAATAGTTAGAATAGTTAGTTAATAATTAATAAAATAATAAATAAATAAAAACTGACCTTGACCTTGTCTTTGAATTATATATTTTCGTAATGATAATAAACCTATCTCAAACAATGAATTCATGATAGTTCTATGCATAATAATTTCCTCTTATTTTATATTTGTCTCTATTTTTTCTTTTAATGAGGTAATATTTAATAAATTTGGTTTAGTGAAGACATACCTGACTTGAGAGTAAAGCGTAAATACATATTAATATT